ACTTTCTATGTCGTGCTTCATTTGGACTGCTTTGCTTTCTCAGGTCCTAGCCTCCTTCTTTTCTATGACCATGGATCTACATCCCCTTCCTCAAGCCTTGCTTCTTGTCTCAACTCTCTAAAGTCATACCAGTTTGGCCAGTGGCAACCCAAAATACATCTGCCTGTCCAGGTGCAACTGGACTCTCACTCCCTTCTCCCCCCCCAACCATTTGTAGTGATTTTTAAAATGTTTAAATGCTATTGCAACTGTCAAGTTTAGAGAGTCAGTGTGCTGTTGGGGTTTGATGTTTGTGGGGGAGGGGAGAAAGTAAGCCTGGCATATCACATCATACCCAAAGCCATTGCTCGTGTTTATCATCATCATCATCATCATCATCATCATCATCATCATCATCATCATTTCCTAAAATGCATGTTTGAAAATTGAAAATTCTGGTGCAGGGGGGGGGGCAGAAGGTAGCCTTGCCTAGTGTGCAAAAAAACCCTGGAGCCGGCCCTGCTAATGGGACAGAATATGAAAACTTTTCTGGTAATATGAAGCCAAAGAATTAAGCCTGAGCACAGCCAGTGGGTTCACATTGCTTCCTGGAGTTTTGCCTGTCTCAGGGAGGTTTCAGTTTATGACATGACAGTTTCCATTTTAAAAATGCAAACCTGTTCTCAAAATAATTAAAAAACAAGTGGGGTAAACATGGGGGGGGATCTCATTTCATTGTTCCCTCTCCCCCAGTTGGTTTTCCTCTTTGTCTCACTTGGCAGTGCCTGCAGCTCCTACCCCTTTCCTTTTCTCCATCTCTTCTACTGGCCTCCCTACCTTTTTTGTTTCTTCCTCTGACAGTTTCTGACCCCCTCATTTCCTTGCCCACTTTCCCCTCATGTTCACCTCCCCCCCCCATTTTAAGCTTTCCCTTTTTACCTTTTTGTTCCTTTCCCTTTCAGATTTACCTTTCCATCTTCCCATCTTTTTTAGTGTCTATTTTTCCTTTTTTAGTCTCTCTTCTCTAGGGTTTCCATTCCCCAGATCTGGGTGAGGAGTCCCCCAGTTTTGGGGGCTTCTGCCTGCCCCCAAACAGCGATATTGCTGGGCAACAACCCCAATGCAATGACATCACTCAGAAGTGTTGTCATCACGTTGGGTACATCACACACGACATTCTGGTTTTGGGGAAAACTCTATGGTTTTAGAACAATTTCACTAAAACCAGAGCATCACGGAGCCCTGCCCCACTTCCAGAAGGCTCTCTTCCATCCCCAGCTGGTACATGAATGAGACCTGGCAACCCTACTCTTCCCCCTTCCTCCATGCTGACAGCAACTGAGAATTCTCGGCAGTGTTGATTGCAAGTTGCCCAGCAAACCTCAACACAGCAACCAAGATCTCACAAGGTAGTCTTATGACACTTCAATGGGACACTTTTCTTAAAGAACCAGACATTCCTTATATGAATGTTGGGGCTTTAAACATTTCATATTTTCCTGCAAACCTAGTGCTTTGTCCAGGCATCTAGGGAAATCCCCCTGTTTGTCCCTGAGCTCATTGTGTAGATATTATGATCTATGCTTATGGCCCAATTCAGAATTAGTTATAATGATTCTGGATTTTAAAAATACAAATCTCGAGTTCAACAGGGTACCTAAAAGGAGTAAGAGATTAAGTAAAGTAGAGCTGGCCAACTTCTTCAGTTTGAAGGCGACATCCTATATAGCCATGATGCCCTCATGGTTGTTTAGGTGCTACAAGACTCTTTGGGGGGCTTATTCATGAAATAATTCACATTTTGAGGAAGTAAAATAAGTTAGGGTGGAACTTTATGAGTTATTCAGATTTTGTATCATCACTTTGCCCTTTAGTAAGGCTAACTTCATTTTTACATTTGGCAGCCTGGCGGTAAATTAAGAAGGTGTGGTGCCTTTATGGCTGCCTCACAATGGCATTTCTTCTCTTACTAACTTTAAGCTGAATGCATTAATTCTAAAAGAACAGGGGGATTTTTGAAAGAAAAGCCCGCTGAGGGGAAAGTCGATATTCCCACAATGGCTATAAAATGTCATGCTTTAAATTACATTTGATTTCTTTTCATTTTCCTTTTCTCAGCTGTTAACAAATGATCTAAGGGGCTGTGATAGAAAGGGGAATAAACTGTGGTCAAGTACCCATTTCAAATCTCTTCACCAGGAGAGTTCTATTTCAAAGAGAGATATTTCTGCACACTACCTGTGGAAATTTATTGGTGTCTTCTTTCAACTGAGCTTTAATATGTTCATAAAGTATGTCGCTATTGTTTTCCACTGTATGATGTTGAGCACATCAGAGTGTAAGTAAAAAAGGCCAAAGCCACTTCAAAAATCTATTATGAACCACCATTAGTTTGAATGTTTTAAATATACACATAGCTGAAGCAAATTGTGCACACTCATGATGGATGCACAGATGGCACATGTGTTTTCCTCCTCCCTTGATAGCCTGTGAAATGGTGGCAAAGCGTAGCTTTGACAGGAAGCTTTATGTTACATTTGAACACAAATGATGCAGAACACAAAAAATTCTACATTTGAAATTCAGGAAATGTTTTCTGACATATTAGGCTATCTCTTTCTCCCGAGGTCAGGCTTCCAATCAGCTGAAGCAATGAAAAGCCTTAATGTTTATTAAGTGATCCCGTTCTCAGTTGTATAAAATCACAGTACATTCCCACAGAAATGTGGCAGGGG